TCTAAATTCAGCATTGTGTAAACCTAGTTGAGAATTTTTTTTTCCTCTAGATGCCTTACCTTAGGTCTATCCACACTGAAGCTCATTTTTCACCTTCTTGCCCACTTATTCAGACTAATGATGTCTTTCAGGAGTTGGTCACCATTGGTATTGAATCTCACTATCCAAAGTAGCTTACTATCAGCTATGAACTTGGAGATTTCAGTGTTCACTACCTTTTATAGATCATTAAAGATGATGAATAAAATTTGTCCAAGCACTCATCCATGGAGTACCCCAGTTTTGAGTTTTCTTCATGGTAAAAATCCATTAAACCCTATCCTTTGTTTTCTATTATCTAACCAGCTTTGAGTCCACAAAAAACCTTTTCCTCAGTCCCATGACAACTTTGTTTCTTTAATAACATTGCTGTGGAATGTTATTGCAAGGCTTTTGGCAAACTTAACTGTATTCATATCTGCTTTATTTACATGCATGCAGACAGCTCCATAGAATTAGAGAAAACTAGTCAGACAGGATTTCCCATTGTAGAAAATCTGCTGGCTTCTGCAATGATCTTTGTCCGTGTGCTGCGTTAGTCTTTATTTTGCCATCCTGCTGGGGACAGCAATCAGCCTTCCCAGTCTATAGCTCCAGAGTCCCTTTTGTAGATGCCTTTTTTCATATGGCTGTTTCTAGCTTTACAGAGAGTAAAGGAAGTATCTATGGGTATCTTTATCTAAGAAAAATTTAAAAAACTGGTAGTTTTTAGAATATGCTGTGATCCTGCTCAGAAGCCGCCGTCCCTAATGTAGGTTAAGAGCTAAATGGAATTGGGTTTGAAATTTTTGAACGTTTTAGCCAAACTGGGATTTTTACAAAAAATAATCCTTTGAAAAATGAAAATTTAACTGATAAAAAATGTATTCCTCCTATATTGTTTTCTTAGGTTGGAAGGCTACTGATATCTTGTCCTCTTTCCATCTTTCCTGAGCAGGGAGCAGTCTTACCAATCAGAGATTCCAGGCACAGAAGCCTATAAATGAGGGATGTCATGGTCTTACAGCGATATAATGCACAGCAGCTCATCTTTATAAGCACCCATTTTAACCACTACAACCTTGGTGAAAGCTGTAATCACTGACATTTTTTAATTTCCTACATAGCTGAGTAAGAGGCTATATAGGTTTCAGTCAACGCTTCGTCCTCTGTTCCGTAAACCAATCAATTACTTGCTTCAGTGAGATTTTTGCGTGTGGCATGTTGGTTGCAATTTGGAAGTAGATTCTACATCCTGAGTCACAGGCTTTGACCACATAGTTCAATTTTAACAAATAGACGTCTTCTCAAAAATTATTTACCTAAGCAAATCAGTTTTTCTGTCAGATGTTACACAAAACAGAGTATCTGTAAAATGTTAGTAGAAAATTTACAAATATTAAGGTTATGAAAATTAGCAGGAACAGTTTTGACTATAAACTCTATTACTTAATTGATATAGTTTAAAATTGAGTTTAGTTCTGTATTTTCTGGAGTTATTTCGAGAATATAAAAATCACTTTGAAAAAATGGTGTCTTTGAAGTCTAATATAAACTACCATAGAAAAAGTTAAGAAAAACTCTTATGCTGAAAAATTGCATTATACACCATGTGAACAATTATACTGGATATTGCATATTATTAATAATGTCATTTCCTTTTTTCAGCTAATGAAATATATCATGTTATCTTAGACAGAAAGAGATTGTTGTTATGTTCTGTACAGCATATTAAAATGTTCATTGGTAGACTACTAGCAAGCCCAAATAATCCATTTCCTATATTCATTTAGTTAAATTGGTTGTGTAAAGATTACTTTAATGATATATACATGCAATTCACCATAAGAATATTTGCTTGAAATTATTTAAAAGAGAATGTAAAAGAGAATAACAAAGCTGAACAAAGATTTATGCTGAAATTGTAGCATTTGTAATTGTTCTCTTTCAAATCAATTATTTTACAAGTTGCACATAAACTGTATATCCTAGGGAGCATGGACTACCTCTAGAGACATCATGCCAGAAACAGAGATATAAAAGAAAGCTGGGTAATGTGGAGAAAAGTAGTCCTGGCTCCATCTACCGTCAGCTTTTTTTTTTTTGGAAAAAAAAATAAATCTACTTTTCTTTGGCGTTTTCTGCTCACCTTTGATAGTTTTGGTTTATATTGTTCCTCCTAGACATAACAGATTAAGTAGGAATATACTTTTTTTTGTCACCCTAGGATCAAGTTAATTTTGAGGCCCTCCCCTCTTCTTCATCTGTATTAGCACAATTCTAGAATCATTGTTCTTATACCTATGCTCATGCTAGCTTTATCCATGTGTAATTGAAAAATCTACTTCAAGTGCTAGCTCTTCATGTTGATTTTTCACACAGTCCTTGGAAATAGAAAGGTTGTTGGACTAAGGTTGAGGAGAAGAGTCTGGGGGTCTGAAGTGTCACAGCTTGTCCCTGGTCCTCTGATGAATAGGCTTGATCTTCAAAATCACTTCTGAGACTTCTCTAATTTGAGCCAAATTCTCAATCATAAAATTTCCAAATGAAAAGACTGACTGTAGATTGCAGAAACACTGAAACTACAAAGTAGATGCTAAATACATAGGGAAGAATGCAAATAAGTCTTTAAAAATATTGATCTTTACATTCTTAGATCTAAAAAATAGTACTGAGAGCTCCAGTGATAGCTAAACATCTGAAAAACTTACTGTGACTGCCATTGCTAGAAATTCAAACTTTATTTTAGAGCGGATTTCTAAAAGTTAATAATAAAAGAGATAATTTGTGCAATATATGTTTTTTCATATAAGGAAGAACATCTATTCACAAGAATACAGAAATCTCAAATATAATAGAAAATTAGTAATGCAGTTAGGCCAAACATTCAACACACTAGAAAATACTGCAATTCATAATTCCTGATGTTTTTGTGACATGAGAGGTAAAACCATTTTTATAGTATGTAAGTCTAATTCCATCTTAGATGACAGAATAAAAAAAAAATTATATTTGAGTAATCCTACCACTTGAGAAGATGAGAAGGTTAAAAAAAAAAACCAAAAAAAAACCCCAAATACAAACCAAACCAAACGAGAAACAGCATTGTCAGGATCTTTGATAACTGTGTACATTAACATAAAATGTCCAGCAAAGGGCTACAAAGATGATTAGGGGATTAGAACATCTCTCATATGAGGAAAGGCTGAGGGACTTGGGTCTCTTTAGTCTAGAGAAAAGAAGACTGAGGGGGGATCTTATTAATACTTACAAATACTTAAAGGGAGGGTGCCAGGGGGATGGGAACAGTCTTTCTTCAGTGGTGCCCAGTGATAGGACAAGAGGTAATGGGCATAAACTTGAACATAGGAAGTTCCATCTTAACATGAGGAGGAACGTCTTTACTTTGAGGGTGGCAGAGCACTGGCACAGGCTGCCCAGAGAGGTTGTGGAGTCTCCCACGCTGGAGACATTCAAAACCCACCTGGATGCCGTCCTGTGCAACCTGTTGTAGGTGACCCTACTCTGGTGGGGGGCTTGGACTAGATGATCTCCAGAGGTCCCTTCCAATCCTGACCATTCTGTGACTCTGTGAAAATGTGAGTTACTTTTCTACAGCTTACTGAAGTAGCATATGTTTCTGGATTTTTGCAGTCTAGAAACTAATAATTAGACATTGTTTTAAAAGACATCGCTTATCAGCAATAATTAAGATATGAAATGAGTAAGATTTCTTTTGAGGAAGTGGTTATTTGCTGAAAAACATATATTTGGTTGTTCCCAAACTACTGTGAATATCCGTTCAAGTGTTTCCAGCTGTAATGGAAGAGTTGGAGTGCTACAGCTGTAGAAACCATCAGCTGCATTTTACTCAACAGGTCTGCAATTAAGGAATCGCTTTTGTTGAAGTTGTTCCATAGGGACTGCTGAATGCTTCAGCAGACACGGTTCATGAACAAGATAACTTCAAGGATGAAAGAAATATCTTTAAAAAGTTAAATTTCATTCAGTTTAAAATAATTCCTCTCCAATTCCAATAACCTAAAAAAAGAGTCAATCCTGGAGTTCAATATTATGTTATAGTATATTAAATATTATAAATCATGTTATTATTATGCTAAAAGAAGATATTATCTGTTACCCAATTTTTAGTAAGCAGTCACACACACGAAATTAATTACAGTTCTTTTTTGTGTGTGTTTGTACAGTCTAGTTATTTTCTTTTTTTTTCTTATGTTAGTGTTCTCCCTCATAAGAATCAGGGAGGTCATATTTGTCATAACCTCCAGGTTAAAATAACTTAAAATATTTTTTTAGGCAGTCTTCAAACTCAAGGATGTGTTGCGTCATGCTCAGTTCATTTATTCCCCGAAGTATCTCTGCAAAAATTAGAATTAAAAGCATAGTATTATAAATAAAGATTAAGAAAGGGTGAGTGGTTCAGTTGCTCATTTTGAGAACATCATCTCTGGCACCTTTGTTTTTTAAATTGATACAAGGTCTTTTTACCTCTCAATGCAGTTTATTGGTTTGTTGGATCTATTCCCCTGGACATGTTCCATTTCTTTCTGCTGAAGCTGTTCTGTGGAGGCTGAGGTTATTTGTGACAGTGTTTCTACAGCATATTATATGTCTTTTTTTAAGTTACCGTTCAGTTGCCTTGCATATTGAGGATATCTTTCAGCATACCATGTAAGCAATATATACCAGTTGTATATTGGCATATACTTTGCAATCTACTTTGTCACAACAAAATCATTTAAAATATTACTGACTAAAGAGCATATCTAGAAAATGGCATGAATGAAATTCACATCTGTATTGAAAATACTGTATCTTTTTAAAGACTTTTCTTGAAACGTATTGCAAATACTACAACATATAGCAAAATATAGATTCTATTCCTATAAGCATAACATAAAACATATATGCTGCTATCTGTGGTTACAGTTCAATCACTTTGCTCGTTTGTTCTGTTTCAGACGGTGCGCCATGGTTTTCCTTATCTACCCACTGCCTTAGCTTTTGACCCAGTTCAGAAAATTCTGGCAATTGGAACAAGAACAGGAGCCATACGAATGTATCCTTTCTCATTCAGAATTTACACCATTTCTATGTGTTTGTAATACAGTGATGTGAATCATCTTCTACAAGCACCCAGGTAAGGTTACTGTTTATGTTGTTATGTTCTACTTCATTTTGCTTTACTGGATGGACTGGAAAAAAGATGTGCTGTTGAGGAATTACCATTAGGTCTTTAAGGTGTCCAAAGAAAATGTTTTGATTGAGTTGTTGGCATATGGTTTTGGCATGTATTGGTTAATATAAAGCAGAATTAATTTTTGTTTTTCAGCATGAAAAGTAGACACTTTTCAGTATGTAAAGGTAGACTACAAAGTGGTAGAGCAAGTTGTGAATGTTATGCTAGCAATAAATAAATTCCTTGCTGCAATGCAGCTAGCCAAATCTTCACTGTAGCTATCTATGTATGAGATATTATTTAGACTCTTCCAAGTGAATGGTGGGAAATCAGTGATTTTAGGGCAGAATTCATCTCTTCCCAGAGGAGAAGGTGAAACACTCTAAAAGTGCCTGTTTCTCTTCATTAATTATAAAGGTACATCAGCACCAGCACTAAATGTGTTTTTATACAGTAGGAATTTTAAGTTAGAAGCCTACACAGAGTATAAATAAATTGAATATAAATATAATGAAAATTGTAAAACTTTGATTTTTTTAAAAAAAATCTGAGAATATTTAAATGTGATGTATTTCAAAATGTTTCTTTGTATATTTTTCTTAGTTTGTTATGGTTTAAACGTATTCCAATTTGGTGAAAGTACAGATAAAGTAAGGAAAAGAAGAAGAAAGACTATTACAAGAAGGTTTGAAAGTTACAGGATACAGAAGTAATAAACCACTATTTTTTACAACCTTTTTGTAGCTAAATAAATTCTGGGTTCAAAGTAGGGGATAACACTGTATAAAATACCAATCCAATCTTTTCTGGTTCTTTTACTACCATCGTTTCCAAGGTAACTATAAACCTAATGAACCCAAAGGCAGGTTACGAAGTAAAGAAAAATCTCCTCCTGGAGAACCAGTCTGTGCTTCATGTAACATGACTAAAACTTCGTTTCCTCCATTTTTGGGTGCTCTTCTTCTGAACAGTTGCATTTTCATAAGCCTCATTTTCTATCATCTGATCCAGAACTTCTCACAAGACTCAACTAAACCTTTAGGTATGTGGCAAGCTTTGCTTTGGTAGTTCTACTCTTAATATTTACCTGTATGAAGTAGATTGAATATATTCTGCTATTACAAAGAGAAAAATCCCCTTTAGTTTGTGCACTTCGGTGGAAGTGCAAGTCTAGTAGTCATGCTTTCTTCTTTTGGGAGATATGCAAGATTAGAAAGCTGGAGCTTTGTCTCTGGAAACTTCATAGATATATTCTATGAGCAGGGGTATTGGGAATTTCATGCATAATGTAGATGACGGAAAAAGACCTTGCAGAAAATTGACTCCTTAGCCCACCTCTTCTTTCTATCTCAGCCAACCTGGCTTTTGTAGGAGCAGTGCTGTTACTGGCTAGGCATCCTATACCATTATAAATGCCTCCTTTGAGAAAAATGCAGGTACAGAGCCTGAATTAATACAGGTTCATGTAAAATTAAGTTAAACCTGCATGTCTGGAACATGCAGTGGAAAATTAGCTATAGCCCTAACCTTATATACAACTCTTTGTAGTGTCTTCTATGGAAATGGATTATAAAGGGTGAGAGGGAGAAGGCAGAAGAAAGTTTTTCAAAGCACCGTTCCCTTTAATATCTCTTCTCCAGTTTTGCTAGCAAACCTGTACCTCATTCACAGAAAATTTTCTACCATTTCTAGTATCTGAATCAAACGAGCATCAAGAATTATGAGGGAATTTTTTTTTTTTTTTTGAGATGTCATCTTATAAGATAAATGTTTCTCATCTTAGGCACACAGAACCTGGTTTGCTTAATTGAGCACTGAGTTAATGGGAGCTGTGCTTTGAAGACAGAGGGTGCCTTAAAAGGAACTACTTATTTATTAATTTTAACTAAGACTTCTCCACTTGGCTCTCAAAGGTTCACAGAACATATTACGTAAAAAGCGTAGTTGTAGAATAATAACTTTGCATTTTTGCACAAGGCTGAACAGTAATCAGTGAAACAGAGCCTGGGACCGCACATGGAACACCACTCATTTAATCCAGTCTTGATGCAACCATTTGTAATTGTTGAAATCAGGCAATAAAATTCAAGTCAATATGTAACAGATTTAGTATCACATCTGAAAATACGATTCATAATGAAATTTTTTAAGGAAACTGAAAAAGTAGAAAATGTAATTGCTGAGTCTTCCACGGTATCCTGTAAAAATACTTTTTAACAGAGCTGCACAATTTCATTCTGCTGTGAATCTGTTAGGTAATAGATAGAGAGAATTTGTTCCACACATATGTGGTGTTTGACCGGTCATTCTAAACAGTACTGTGGATGTAGTGAAAGGACAGACTATTTGACTGCCATCAGAGAAATACACTGAATTATTTATTTGTTTATTTATTAGTAGCACCAAAAGGGCCTAGTTTGGATCAGACTCTTGTGCTGGGCAACACGAAGGCATAGCAAGACAGAATTTACATAATGGTATTGTTGCTTCCCCGTCTTTCTAAAAGATTCACAAAGTATTGATATTTCTATTGGTCACAAGTTAACAGGTCTCAAAAGACAAGCTGTTTCCAAAGAAAATGAAGCATGTACCGCTGTGTTGCGAATTAATGTTTAACATCACGCCTTCAGGTCATCATTTCAAATGATCCAGCAGCAGTACTGAAATTGACTATGCTAAATTGGCCTGAAATAGAGTATATTATTCATAAGTTGCTATTAGAGTACAGAGATAAATGAAAGTTCATTTTGGTATGACAGTCAATTTGTCTTCTCCTAGATTTCTTTGCAGGCTGCTTTAGATGCAACTGCTATAGCTTCTATAGCAATGGGAAATGCTGTTGCTATGCTCTACTGATCCTAGCAGTCTCTGTGGAATTCTCAAGGAACTTCAAAAAATAATGTAGGTTTTACCTACAGTGATGACTGCTGGGTACTGGATCCTCACAGGGACAGCTGTGCTCCAGCCCACAGAATGAGAGCACGCTGCAAATCATCGATGAAAGAGTGTCTTCCTATTACCAACATGAGCTAACAAAATCTGTAAATAAAGGGCGAAAAAACCCACTCTTGAAACAATTGCTTTGCCATCTGGTCATTATTTTCCTTTGTCCTAAACATAGCAAGTTTTTTGTCCCCTCTGAGGACTTTTTTCCTATTTGAAGCCTATTCTCAGCTCCCATACCTTTGATCATTGCTCAGATCATTGCTTGATACCATTCTACCTGGACTATTCTTGCTTCAGGCAAGCACATTCAGATGAAGAGGGTCTGTGAAATTGAATTATTTTTCTTACCGTCTCCATATCCTTCTTCCCTAGTCCCAGCCTGAAGAACCTTCTGAGTGGGGATCAGAAGGTCAGTCGCGGCGTTTATCACATTCTCGTTCTTAATAAATAGATTAAAATCAGTGTCGTTAGCAATGATTATTCCGGTATCAGATCTGAAGAAGTGGCATGTTGCTCTCAGATTTCAGGATGCATATTTCTGTATTTTCATTTATTCAGCTAACAAATGCCTGTTGAAATTCATTATAGGTACTTTATGGAGTCACTGAGTCTCTTCCTTTGGACTTCTTCCATCACATCAAAGATGTGCTTTGCCAGTATAGCCACCAACTTGAAACACATAGAACAGAGCATCTACATATTTTTGTATTGAGCTGCTGATTATTTGGTGGTCAGCTGCAGTAAGAAATTCTGAAAGAGACTCTTCTATAGTTATTATCATCTTTGCTTATTAAGAAATGAAAGTTTTTCTTAAGCTGAGTGCAAAGAAAACAACTTACTGGGTCCAGAATAGCCTCCACGCCACTGAAAGCTTATCCATCATCAAACGGGCTTAAATTAGTAATATGTCTTTGGACATGTTTTAGTGTTGTCTGTTGTCATTAACACATATTCTTTAGACTTAACGGGCTTCGTGTTGTCATGGATGCAGGTTATGGGGCATGCAAATCTTCATTTTCACTGTTTGTTGCTTGAGCAAAAAAGTAAGCCATCCACAAAACGTGCAAGGCCTTTCTAATAGACATAACAGCTTGCTGTTATCAGACAATATAGCAGCCATTTTATACCTAAGCAAACAAAATTATTCTGACTCACTGGCACATGAAAGTGGAAGTGTTGCTCTGCCCCCACCTTTCATTTAGCTGCATGGTCCTGACACTTTTCTTGCTCTGACTCTGGTGCTCATCAGATATTTCTGTAAGCAATCAAATTCACTAACCTGGCAAAATACTAGGTCTTTTTTGCTGTGTTCCTTTTTCACCAGGTTAGTGAACTGAATTATCTAGTGCTTACCTGTGGTGCTATCCAGAATGATGCATAAGGAAACTGCAAGGAGTGCATAGTTGGGATGTGACAGAGAGGAGAAACAGAAAATTTGGCAGCAAGGAGCAGGTTATTGGATTGACTTGTCTTATTATGTGAAATTGCTTCCCAGGCATCCAGCTATGGCAGAATGCAGTTGTCTGTGAAATCTGCTACAAAATGTAGAAATAGCCTTTCAATTTTGAGTGGTATGGAAGATAGCCTATCTTTTGCTTATGTTTGAAAAATATTCTTCAGGTAAAGCCATTTGCAAATCACAAAAAATCTAGAGGCTCTGCTCAGGAGAGATTCTGCTTTAGGACCATATTTGGAAACATTTTTCTGGCCTGTTTTATGTGTTTCTTCCAAAGCTTTGATAGCAAGGGTGATTTTTGAATGTCAAATACAGTACAGCGATACTTATTTTAACAGGTACATTTTGTGAAAAACAAAACATGGCTTCAAGATGGCCAAGAAAGCCAGTAGCACCCTGGCTTGTATCAGAAATAGTGTGGCCAGCAGGACTAGGGAAGTGATTGTCCCTCTGTACTTGGCACTGGTAAGATTGCACC